TGAAAAAAGTGCAAATCTTTTTCAAGTTTGCAAAAAGCAGAAGTAATGCCAGTTGCTGACCAGAACTAGAGTAAAAATGTTGGAATAAAAAAAAAATGGGGCAGGAGAAAGGCTTTTTTAAGGAGCAGGCAGCCGGGACCTGCTTTAACCTTCGATAGCCTCATAAGACAAAGGAGAAAGTAGGAAAGAGAAAGCAGCTATGGGTGGCAAAGCCTTCCAACAGCACTCAGACCCCAACTGTCCCTTCCTGCCCCAGGGAGCCCATAACAGACAGAGTTGCCTGGGGAAACCAAGAGAATGTGTGACAGTCAGTGCAAGGCCAGAACTGAGCCAGAGCTCTATGACTTTTAGAAAACGATGGGGATATTTTGCACACTAGGCCTTTGAAATGGTCCCACAGGATTAGTGGAGGTAACAACAACAACAACATCATCAACAATGAAAACAATAACTATAGAGCTCACATAGAAAGTAACAATAATAATAATAAATATTTATTGAATGTTTCCATATGCTAAGCACAGTTCTAAAGGTTTTATGTGTATTATCTCCTTTAATCTTCACAATAATTCTGCAAGATAGGGACTCTTTATCCCCATTTTGCCAATGAGGAAACAGAGACAGGAAAGTTAAATACTTTGTTTGACCAACCACACAGAGCTAAGAAATGATGGAGCCACATTTTTAACTCAGGCAGCTGAGTTGCAGATGCTGACCCTTGACCAACTGTGACCATGTGGACAATGAGAGATTCCTATGAGTAGTTTTGACTCTGTGTTGCTCAAGATTCTGAGGAGCTATCTCTTGGGTGATGGGTGAGGAAGGTTGAGTGGGAGGAAAGGCAGGGTGGAGTCTGCTCAAGGACTGCTAACCCCTTTAACTGTTCTTCTGCTTTTGTCTATTTTAAATTAACCAATTTTGAAATTGATTTGCTACTAAAAATGATTTGAAAACTACCATATTGAAGGCTTAGGAGACCTAAGTCCTGTCGGTGGGAAACCAGTGGCCAAAGATAAAATTCAATGAATCCCAATGCAGAGCAAAGCACTGAAAATGCTCCAGGCTGATGACACAACACACAGATATACATGGGTTAGAAAGAGGGTACAAAATGCATCTGCCACAGGGATGGGGGCTCTTTCATATTTGTGCATGAGGAAGCACAGAGGAACCAGAGAATATCTACAGTTATACAGTAAGAGAGCCACAGTGGATCTCTTTGGAGGACAGAAAGTGAGGATGTAGAAAAGAAAGGAGTCAAGACTTTGCCTCTAGCCACCTGTGGATACATGAGGTGTCTAATCTATTAGTGAGGAAAGATTTATGATGAAACTGTTCTATACCCATGCCACGCATATTATAATGAATCATGTATGTTCTCATATTACTTATTAAACACAGCTGGTTTGTTATGTACAGTACCTATTTTGATTAATTCTGTCTGCATCTTGCATATTTCTACATCTTTGGGTTAAAAGATGCAGCTCTCTATTAGTCAGAGAGGATCTGACTAATTACCCAGTCAGAATTTTCGTACCAGGAGACAGACTAACTTTGATTAAAGCATCAGATCACCAGTTACTCAACCCTGGACACCAAACAGGGACTAAACTTTGTTAGCTATTACAAGGGATCAGTCCTCAAAGAATAGCAGTCAAGGGAGGACTGCTCTCATTTGGGTGAGAAAGCTATAATCTCTCTCTCTCAATGGATTCTTTCCAGAAAAGAAATAGTTATGGAGCTCTTTTAAAAGGCCCAATGTGCAAAACAACCCCGATATTTCTTAAAACTCAAACTCAAGGACTTTATCTCTTAGGTCAATTTCTTTATGCCACCAATCTACTCCCATCTTCCACTGCGTGTTCTGAGAGCCAGCAGGTTAGGATGCAGTGAAATGTGCCAGAGTTGAAGCAGATCCTTACCTGACTGCACAGCTCTAAGTTCTCAGAGTACACAGCGATCTGTTGTCTTGGCTGCTGTTCCTCTGACAGGTAGCTGGCCAAGAGGATGAGGACATCAAAACCGAACTTGTCTGTAAATGCTTTCAAATCACTAGTGATATTGCTGTGAAACATACAGTTCTGAAACAAAAACAGGCAATCTGATGTTAATTAATATAATTGCTCAGGTTTGGGGCACTGTGCCATAAATTTGTCCAGTCTTATGATGTATTACAACAGAGATATTTTATTAAATGCAAGTTAAATAAACACATTGACAAAGTTTGGAAACTTTCATGTGATGGCCTAAGATACACATTGGTTTTTGTTTTCCTAAACAAAAAAAGGAAGGAATCTCTGCCATCATTATTAAGAATAGTTTAGATAAGAAATAAATATCTAATCCTTTTTCCCTAAAATATTTATTCAAATGCTTTGACTTTCCGAAACACACTTTTCCTCTTATTGTTCATAGGACGTAGGAATGTCTGCTATTATTGCACCTATCACTAGAAAAATAGGAGAAAGCTATTGTTCTTTTCTATAATTGTTTTCTAATGATTGTTATGAACTCCAAGCAGAATTCCTAAGGATGAACCTAGCTGAGTTTATCAAATGCTTTTAATTCCAGTGTGGATGTCTAGGAGATTTGTATAAAGGCTGTGATGTCAGATCCACTTGCTCTATATAGTAACTGAGGAGAAATGAGTAATTGCAGAAAAGGCACCCATTACCATGGAGCACCCAAACCTGTGACTCCCATCATCTTCAGAAGTGTGCTGGCTTTTTAAAGTTTTATTAACTGCAGTGAGAACCACTTTGTTGGTGTAGTTGTCTCTCTCTCTTAAGGAAACATAGAGAAGACCATAGGTTAGCTCTCAACATAATGCCTGGCATATACTAGTTGCTCAGGAAATGTCTGTTGAATGACAGGAGAGAAAAAAATCAACCTGTGCTATATAATTATCTATCACAGTGTGTATATATCATGTATATGATCATCATACATAATCGATCAACTGACAGTGTACTGTACTACTTAATTTTCTTCTGATTACAAAAGTCATCAGAATTATGCATGCCACTAGTAAAATATTAAAGCAATACAGAGATGTATACCATAGGAAGTGTTAGTGCCACATACCCTCTCCTCAGATAACCACTGCAAAAACTCAACAGTGCATATAGGTACAGATTTTTTCCATGCCCAGATTAATTTTTCTATGTGGTGGCTCTTTGAATTTTGTGGATTTGGTATTTGTGGCTTAGACTATTTACCAGACCATTTAAAATATCCATATCACATGTACTCTAATTATGTTGAGTCAGATCTCAAGGTCTATGAGGCTCCTTAGAAGGCACATGAGATGCTAGGGCAGATGTGGAGGCCCAGCCCATCACCAACTTCCACACCTCAAGGAACCTTTGCTATCTATTCCTGTAGCAGCCACTCTCATTAGGTATCTCAAGAAGCCATTCTCACTTTTTGGTTACAAGGAATTGCACATAGGAATTCACAAAGTCTCAGGATATGCTGCTGATGAATACCAAGGGTCTATTATACTAACTTGGTAATAAAATGTATGATGTTCAAATACAATAGCTTTTGGAAGCATGTGTTCCAAAATGCTTACTGTCAGCCTTCATGCTTTTTATTTATTGTCCGAGTGCCATAATAACAATCTTTAAATAGATACTTTAAAGAATTAATTCACCCACAATAGAAGTAGATATTTAGGCTGAACTTTAAAAAAAAAAAAAAAAAGAACCTCATATTATAAGCAATGTGCATTCATTAGATAAAATTATTTCAAACCGTAGTTGGTGTTATCCATCAAGAACCTCAATAGTGAGCTTTTTGCCATTATGAACCATAAAAGAAGATTTGGTTCTGAAGTAAAACAAGAATGGATAGCAAATACTTACATGTTATTACCAATGATTGAAGGCTTTGGCACAGGAAGACCTAGAAGTTTCCTTACAAAATACTTTTTTATTATATACATAAAAATCCCCAAATATATTTATAACCCCCTGAAATAAGACACAATATTTCTAAGAGATTTTCACATATAATAACAATTATCACAACACTCCTGGATGGGTCACTTAACCAAGAGAAAAGCAGGTTTTACTGGTATCTGAGTACAAGATTAGGATTCAGTAGAATCAGCATTATTCAAAGCCATACTCGTGAAACATTTGCTATTCCAAAATGCTGGCTGAGCTCCAGTCTATTTGGATTTCCTTGTGTTAAAATGACAGCTCTAGATCTTGCTGGACTCAAGTCTTCGCAACAGCAGGCATCTTATTAGAAATGCAAAGTCTCAGTCCACACTCCAGACCTACTGAAGCAGAATCTGCATTTTCCACAAATCTTGGGTGATTTGAATACACAGTGAAATCTGAAAAACCCTGTTCTACAAAGGTATTTTTTAATTGCTTATTTCCCTATGAACTAGTCCTTTGGGTTCTCAGTGTTGTCACAGGACTTCCTGACTCATGCTCTCAGCTCTATGTTCCTCACACTCTCCTCATCATAAAAATCACTCTGGGTGCATATTTCTGGGCCACCTTGCTAGAGGTTCTCATTTAGCAGGTCAGGGATTAGGTTCAAGAATCTGTATTTTCATTATGGACCTCAAATGATTCTGAGATTCAAACACCATTGAGTAACACCCTCCCAGTTTCCTCAGGCCACTCCTGAGTTCCACAGGTTAAAATGAAGTATTGAAAAAACAAAGATTTATGTGACTCACTTAGGCATATTAAAAAACCAAACTATTCACATTTTACAGTAACCTCAGAATAGAGGTTGTCAACAACTATATCCTATAATACCCTAATAAAATTGTCCAAACCAGTTCTGATCTTACTGGCTTTAAGATAATGTCAGAAATTTCATGTTTAAAATAGAATCAAACAAGGGAATGAGTGAGAATCTTCAGGAATCAGGAGGCAGAGTCTGTTTGTTCTGCTTTTATGCTGGTGCTGTTTGCATAGGAGATAATTTATTATTGTCTTCTAGCTACGCAGGGAGTCATGTGCTATGATGGCTCTTATGTTGCTGACAAGCTAGGCTGGGCCTGAATAAACAGCACTTCATCATCAATACAACCCAACTGTAGATACAGGTTGGCATTTTATTCCCCCCATCTGCCTTCTACCTGATAAATTACTGTTTTAGTTACATGTATACAAATACTATTTGTTAATCTGCTCAAATGTCTCCAGAATGTTTCCCCACCTTAACTTAAAATTATATACATATACATATATATCTCCCACTCAATTTGCCAAAGGCTTAGAAAATAAAGTGATCTTATCTTAATTTACCACCCCTGTCCACACCATACAACCTTCCATATTTGAAATATGACCCCAGCCTAAGATTGCTGCATGGAATTAGGAAGTTACTTTACTAATTATTACAGCTGGGAATCGACTGACAGAAAGCCAGCCTATTCCCATCAGTTAGGAAGGATGGGAATTGCTTCCTGTCAGAGTCCTTTGTCACTCATGAGTCCAAAGGTTCGATCATTAAACATTTTTAGAGGTCATGAGTTCTTTTGCCTGGAGCGATTCCTAGTTTTGGAATGAATAGGAAGGCCTGGAAATGTGGAGAGAAAAAGACTGTTATTTCTTGACCAAAAGCTAAGGTATAGATCTCACTGGCCCTGAAAAGAGTGATGATCAAAACAACAAAAGGAAGAGAAACAAAATGATACAGCTCTACTTTAACCAATACAAAACCTGAGATTGTGACAATGATAGTATCCAATAGTGTTACTATATTTGTGGTTGAAACTGTGTGGACAAATGCAGTGGAAATTTCCATTCCCTCACAAAATCCTATTTTAGTTCTCACTTCATTGCTCTGAAAAATTTAGTCTTTATGCTATATGCTGAAAGCATCAGTGCATCACATGAAATAAAAGTGATCTAAATGATGTTTTGTAAACATTTGAGTACTTAAATGTGGATATTCCTTGGGAGAGAAAAACCCACTCTTTTTAACATCACTCATATATTCTTATCTCATGGTCTCTTGTCAGGTTTCTGTCTCCAATATTCCACTGAAAATGCTGTTCTTGAAAGTGCTAATCACTTCTAGGTTGCCAAATCCAAAAATCACTTTCCTGTTCTTTCTCTATCTGACTTCTCTGAAGAATTCCATGAGGTTGACCCTTTGTCCTTGAAACACTTAATTCCTTCACATTATCTTTGTTTTTCTCCCAACTCATTGGTTACTCCTCAGTCACCTTTGATGGCTTCTCTACCTTAGTGACCTCTAAATATTCACTGCCTCAGACTTTGTTTCCAAACCCTTTTCTCTCATCTACATGTTCTCTCTGGTGATCTCACCCAGTCACAATGCTTTCAGATCATTTATCTGCCAGTGACAAACCAAATCTACATCCCCCTGAACTCTAACCTCGTTTATCCATGTATTTTCATGTAAATGTCTGGTAAGCATTTAAAATAAAATGCAACCTACCTCTGCCTTAGTTTCCTCCACGCCATTAAATGCACCATCATCCATCTAGTTACTCAAGCCAAATATCTAGGAATTATTCTTGATTCTTTTCTTTCCTCATTCCTCATCCATTGGTAAATCCTATTTACTTTACTTCTGAAACACAGCTCAAGTCCAAACATTTTTCTCACTTCTCTCTATTCTATTACTATCATAGCTACAGTCATCATCATTTCTTGTTTGAAATTTGGTGACAGCCCGCCAACTGGTCTTCCTGCAGCTGCTTTTGTCTCCCTACTATCAGTTCTCCACATGGCATTGAGAAAGCTTTTAAAAATGTAAATAAAATCATGGCACATTTCTGTTTACAATCCACTCAAAAGTTTCTCAATGCAATAGCTATTAACTGTTTTTAAACTGGGAGGAGAAAGGTCTAATGTCTTAGAGATTATATAATCTTATATATCAGGACATAATCTTATATACCAAAGAGAAAAACTAGACACAGCAATAGAAAAGTAGTTGAAAAACATAAAATACAAATTAGAGTTGAAGTACAAATGGCCAATAAATATCCAAACTCAATGATAATCAGAGAAATTCTTTGATAGTATGATATTTCATCTTTTCCTATTATTGGCAAATATTTCTAAATGGGTACTCTCATACACTATTAGAAATATATTCTAAAGAAGTAATCAGATATGCACAAAAAAGGTTTGTGGACACAGCTATTCACTGAGTTATTACTTTAATAACTAAAATTTAGAAACAACCTAAATGTATAACAATAAACAAGTGGTTAAATAAACTATGGAAGAGTCACACAAAAGAATATTATGCTGCTATTAAAAATCACATTATCAAGGAATACTTAATGACACAAGAAAATACTGATAATGGTGTTAAGTGGAAAATAATTTCTCTAATCACATAAAATTGAACATTTTTTCTAGATGTATTCAGATAACATATAGTGAAATCTAATGTACAATGGACATTAAGATACCCTGATATTAAAATTGTCATTATTTAGCCAAATTGCAAATCTAAAATCTGATTGTGTCTCTCCTTTATTTTAGGGCACCTCCTCCAATGTTCCTAGTGAAGTCTCTGGAGTTGTGTGACCATGAGATTAACCCTTGGCTCTGGCATTCACTAGTTGGGTGAGTTACTTCACCTCCTTGAGCCTTAATTTTCCTCTCCCATAAACCCCCACCTCATCGGACTATTGTAAGAATTAAGAACATATATAAAAAAGCCAGCCCAGTACCTGGTATATAGTAGACAATAAACATTAGATCTCTTTCCTTTCCTAATTCTTAAGCTATCAAAAGATCATTCTAAGGATTCATGAGATTAATCCAATTCATAGAGAGTATTTTACAAATTCTTGGTATGGAAACTGGTTGTTCATATTACAACTTCTTTCCTTATATCCTTTACAATATATGCAAACTTTTAAATGAAAATAACACATATTTTTAAGTCATATAAGTGATTCACATGTTACATTCCTAGATGTGAGAGGACAGAGGAAGTTACACAAAGTCAAAAATGAAACAAAATTATTTAAAAAATGATGTAGGCTACAGAAACTCTCAGTAAGGCAGTATTTATCTTATTAACAAATTCCTTATCCTTAATTTCAAGTTGGATTCAATGAATGAGCTCCTGTTTTCCTTTGTACGTAAAGCAGCTTTCAAAGTATCAGAAAAATGTGTAGTGATTTTTCCTTTAGCTAAATCACACTGATGGAGCCTTTTTCATCATTTCCACCATTTCACCTCCAAGTATCATATAACCTTTAGTGGATTTTGCTCCTAATGAAAATACTTTCCATTTGGGTCCAGCATTCTGGCCAGTACACATAATCCCAAACACTTGTCTCTCTTAAAAATCACGAATAAAATATATTGAGTAAGGCTTTCATTAAATGAAACACATTATCTAATGTCATGGACAAGCTATTTCCAGATTTATTATGTCTGAAATAGAAAAATCAAGTGAGCAGGAATCATCCGTAGGTAGGATGCTTGTAGATAAAAATTATTACCAAGACTAAAACAAAAGCTTGTGCAGCTTCATTTTTGAGAACAGTGAGTCTCAGAAACACAGTTTGACAAGCCATAACTACCTTGTAAGCACAGTGGCCAGCATGGATTGCTGAGTTACTGAAATTTAAGAGTATGGTTTGACATTTATATTCTGCATGGATTTATTTCTAGACTGAAGACTATTTTTTAATCAAGATATAAGAAAAATGCTGAGGTATGTACACAAATGTTCTAACTGAAAGCTTTATGATTTATGCCACCCAAATTCCATTATGATGTTTAAAATATTCAGCAATAATAAAGTCTGATAATTTTGACAGGAAAATGATTTATGAGAACACAAAATGCATAAATTAAGAGATTTTATTTATTCTGTTTTCTGTACACCCTTTAATTGGTAAGCAAAGATATTTCCCATGTTTTTCCCAGATGCCATTTTTAAAAAACTCTATTGTTCTTATATTTATAAGCTAGCTAAGGTATTTTAGAAGTACAAACTACTATAGTCTATTAAAACTATATTATACATCATATTTTGAAAATAGACAGTACACATTATCATTCTTTATAGCTAAAGAAAAAGTCCTTCATGAACAGATTTTGTGAAAGTTAAAAATATTACAATATATAAATGAATATGTAACATATACACACAATTCAATATAATTTTCATTTAAACCAGTAGTACATTGCCTAACAACTTAAGAAAGCACTGCTTTGCATTAAGCACTCTATTAAATACTTTGCATCATCCCATTTAAACTTTCAGATGCCGCCATGCGATGAATAACATCATCTTTGTTTTGCATTGAGAAAATGGAGGCTTTGGGAGGTTAAGTAACTGATGTCACACAGCTTATACAAGTGGAAAATAGGACTTGAACCCAAGTAGTCTTACTTCAGAGCCCATGTTCTTACCTCTATGTTATATTTGAATGAGAATATTTTCATCACCAATGATATTACTAATTAACTCCATTTTTAATTCAATAAAAGTTTTTTTTGCTGATCCATTTATTTCTGTTTAGTATTGATTCCCCCTTGTCACTATACATAAGCCATGTCTTCGATTTTAACAAATGCTAATAATAATGTTCTGCTTAAAAATTTTGATGACTTAATATTATCATGTTTTATGATCAGTTTCTACTTTCTCATCTACTCTATAAAATATAAATTCAGGCTGACCATTAACTATATGTATAAACCTAAAATTGAAAACTTGCCCAAAGAAACTTATAAAGAAGATTGTTCTGATATTCTTGCAGCAATATATACTTTTAAAAAGATGAGCATACGCATACTACAGTGAAAAAAAATTAAAGGCAGGGAAACTGGTATAGTCACTGGTTATCCAGAATAATTCTCATGTATTATAGTTTTTCTTGCTCCAATAGCTTAGACACACAAAATGGAAGAATCTTACTTTACCATTTAGTATGCAAAAATCTCATCATCTAGGATGCCCTCAACATTACTTTTCTTCTGCTCAAAAGCCCAGAGAAAATTAGGAATTAGGATTGCAGAAGGTAGGTAGGGAGACAAAAGACATTACTTTTACCTTGAAGGAGTGGACATTTTAATAGAGAAAGCCTACAGTATCATCATCATTTCAAGCGAAGTCCTCTTATAAAGGCACAACTACCAAAGACGAGATTAAGTATCAATGTACAGTTGCTTGAATTTAGGTCAAGTATGTCACAAGTATTTGAGGAGAAACCAAAAGTCTTTTAAGCAATCACCTTTCTAAGGTCATCATTTGGGTTCAAGAATTCAAGAACAGAGTGGGAGAGCACATGTTTATTGAAAACTGAAAGTCACAGTTTTCTTTCACGAGACAAATATATATTACCTCCTATAACCATATCATTAATGACGAGAGACGGGGAGGAGTGCACTGGGAGATAATTAATCTGAAAGCACAGGCTTGAGTTAAGGACTTCTTAAAATGAAGTGGGCTGGTTTCAGATCAACCTGAAATTAAGTGAATTGAAGTCCTGACCCATCCTCACTGTCTCCGTCGTAAAGAGAACCAGTGTTAATCCAATAGAGAGTTGCCCTGGAAAAAGAAGCTTACATATACCATACTTCATAGAAGACTAGTCCTCGGCAGACTCTCACAACTAGTTAATAGTAGATTGAATACTTGCATGTGGGGAGGTTCATAACCAGTCATTGACAAATAAGTCACCATCTCATTAACTAGCTCGGGTTAATTTACATTTTCTTTAAGGACAGAACCATAATCATCAAATCTTTTTGATACAGTATAGATTTAAGGACTCGGTGTGAAAAGGGTTATACTGTTGATCCCTTTAAGGGTCCCTTTTTTGTTTATGTATGTTCATAAGGATTTCTACTTGAAAATACATAACTTAGAACTCATACATAATGGAAAATCCACTCATTAGGCATGCATTATTTTTGAAGTGGTAGAATCTAGGCAACATCCTAGAGATCAAATAATAATAATAAATTATTTCCATAGTTGTACATAGATGTTTTAAAAAATCCCTATTGGCTTGTTTTGAGCCATGAGCCTGAACACTTACAGCTTTATTTATTTTCCTTTGTAAAAATAAATCATCTAGTTTGAACAATATTTCAAGAAAGCAGGAGACCTTTCTTCCTCTCTGGGTACCCCTTTCTGATTTATGGAAACCACCAGTCAAGTCTCCGGAGTGCTTGCTGTACAAGTACATACACACACTTCTGATTTTTCTAAGCTGTGTCAATATTAACCTGACCAAATGAAGATCACACTGTCTCTTTTGTTCCTCACATGGGGAGCACAATATGGCTCTTGTCAGAGGTGCTTCATCATTTTGGCTCAAGGAAACTGCCAGTACAGTTTGGGATTCGTTCTTCATGGGCAGATACCCTGATGGGTCTAATGAAGCCTTTCTGCTGACAACTCATTTGCTAAAAATACCCAACCATCACCAAGTTTAAGTGGGGAATATGGTTGTGCTATTGACCCAATGAAATTAATTTTTTTGAAGACTAAAA